CACATCCAATCCAGCCCGGTTCAGAGGCAGCTACCTAGGCAGAAATTGAAGTCCAACGTTCTGCTGTCTTTTTCGGAGTTGCCATTTCGTTTTTGAGTCCTGTAATAGGCAGTTCTGCCTAAACGTTGTGTCTTCCCTCTTTTTATTTATTTTGGCCAGAACTACCAATTTTATACTGTGAAAAATTGTGAAGTCCTCACCAGTCTGAGGCAAGAAAAGAACTTACTTTGGAGATATTCCTCACCCAAATTCACAATTGCTTGTTTAAAGAATCAATAACTTGGGGCGCAATTTATCTATCTTTTAGAAGTCTGCTAGGGTTTTAAACTGCTAGCAGTGGCACGCTCACACCAAAAAAAAAAAAAAAAAAAAAAGTTGACTTGTTGACCACCAATGGTTGTCAAGCCAATAGGAAACTTTTCCCTACCATCACAGGATTAAAATCAAAACGGGTGAACACTAGTGTTTGTTACATATTAATTTTACACTTTGATAATCACATAGTCTAAACTTGTTAAATTAGAGTTCGGTTACATTTTAAGCATTAGAATTAGTTCACTTGAATAAAATAAAAACCCGCTTTGTTTTGTGTGTGTGTTGTTTGAAATCTTGATTGTTCTTTCCACTGAATTCTGCTCACTTTTGTATCTATTTTTTATATTTGGCTCGCGATGAGTTATTCATTTTTTCATGCTGAATCCAACCATATAAAAACATAAATTGTGGATTAACGGTTGGAAATTTACAAGTCAAAAAACGGCACAGAGGTCGAAACTAGAAAATAGAGGAAGTTCATAAATTCTTCTCTGACATAAACGTGATAAACGGGTGATACCTAGTGTTTGGGCCTAAAAGAAATCCATGCGCCAGCCCATCTTCATAGGAACAAGGCCCACAAAACAGAAAATAACAGAGGATTGGGCTTTGATTCCGAAAAGGGCCCAATCCACATCAGAGGCCCATGTCTTTTACAAAGTGGCAGAATTGTAAAAAACACACAAAGCAAGTCAATAAAATTGCCAAATAAAAATGGAAAAATTGACCACCAAGTAGATCGTTAAAATTCTAAAGAAAAATTGGATTGGGCCTAGCTTCTAAATGCTCACCATTGATCTCAAAGCCCAGAGTACAAAGAGAAACCTATTCACAGAGAAACCCACATGACTACCTGACTTTGAAAAAGTCAACATTTCAACTATCACAAGAGAGTTGATAAGGAGTTAATGAAGACTGGTCTTAAAAAGAGGAAGATGTCTCCAGTCTTTTCAGTCAAAAGAAGATCAAAATCCCTTTCTATATAAATTCTGCATCAGGACAAGCATCATTTCCAAGGGATAAGCATACTACATTTTCTAAAGAGATAAGTAGGGTGCATGGAGTTGTTCATTTAGAAAATCAAGCTAACCATCACTACATATTGAACTCTTAGGAGTGAAAAGTCAAAAAAGGATTAGGTTTTCTTTCAAAAAATAGAGGAGTGATCACCATAAAGAACTAACTGTTGATGGTTTGTCTGCCAGAATAGATAAAATTCCCCTTTTCTTTGACATTTAAAATGAAAGATCTTGTTTTTAGAAAATCTGTTGCCCATTATTAAAAGAATAGAAATCCCACTCCAGCATTTTCTATAAATATGAGAAAAGGTGAACAGATTAAATGACAGCTAAAAAATCAATCAAAACAAAAAACTCAAAATGATCACTTGATCTCAAAAGACCTTCAAAACACTGAAGCAACCAAAGCTCATTGAGCCACAACAAACAAGTCAGCTAGAATTCAGAATCTCTAGAGTCAGTTCAGCTTCAGTGAAATAGTCATACAAAGCGAGATTTCTCTCGTTACAAATTTGGTTCAGCTTAAGCCAAATCAAGCAGAGTTCAGGTTTTTACAAATATGAAAACCTCAATAAATTTATGGAGAGCCATAATCAAGCAGAACATATACTATAGTGCAGTTCCAGCTCAGTAATCATCGAATCCAGCGACTTCTGCGCTCTGCAGAGTGAAGAGGTTCCAATTCTACCCGTTCAAAAATCCTTTCATGGCTTGAAATAGATTAAAGCTCTGCCAAACTCAAATGTTGGTATCGATTTATAGCTGAAACTTGACAGTTGAAGGTGTTGATAGTCCAGTCCAGCATACAGGCCAGATCAAAAGTAGCTACCCAAGCAGAAATTGAAGTCCAAAATTCTTTTGTCCTTTTTTAGAGTTGGTCTTTCCTTTTTGAGCTTTGTAAAATGCAGTTATGCTTGAAACAGTTTACTTTCTTGTCATTTATTCTGGCCAGAACTATCAGTTTTGTACTGTGAAAAATTGTGAAGTCCTCACCAATTTGAGGCAAAGAAAAGAACTTACTTGGGAGATATTCATCACCCAAATTCACAATCGCTTGTTTAGAAATCAGTAACTTGGGCGCAAGTTATCTATTTTTAATAAAGTCTGCTAGGGTTTTATTGCTAACAATGTCACGTTCACACACAAAAGAAAGTTGACTTGTTGACCAGTCAATAGTTTTCAAGACAATGGGGAACTTTACCCTACTATCACATGAACAAATATAAAACGGGTGAACACCTGGTGATAAAGTGGCGATACAATAATGATTCAAAATGTTGATTGTGTTTGTCTTTGATTTTTGTTTTGTTTCATTTCATTTACTTTTCTTTACTCATTTCTAGTATTCGATTTGCATTTTACCTTTATATTGTATTAAATAAGTGTTCTTTACGTACTCAAACTAGACCTCTGTATAAGCCTACAATATGCCAAATAAAGCAGTAGTTTTCCTAATTAGAAGCAATATCATTCATCCCTCTCAAAGTAAATTAAAAGAAGCATAAGCAATTTTTATGCATACCATTTTAATTGCTGAAGATATGACTTCTCGAGATTCTGCTGCTAGATCAAATTGTATGAAAAGCTGAAGTAAGAACAAAGAGAAATGTTTAAGAAAACTATATCCCAGGAGACACATAATACATACATCCAAGAAACAAAGGCATGTCATATACTTGGATGAGAGAAGTACCATATCTTGTCTTAAAGATCCTTTCCAAAACAGTAACCAATGTGCTTTCTAGACCATATAATATCATAAGAAACATCGATGGAAATAGTAGATATGATAAAAAGTAAAACCAAATTGATATCACATATACCAATGACAAACATATGCAAAATCCCGCATGTCATGAACACCAGGCTCTAGTTTCCTTCAGTTTTTATGCAAATCTGAATCCAAATGTCAAGTAAACAATTTCGCTTAAATTTAATGTAAAAAATCTACAATCCAGCAGCACTTCTACTACAAATAAACTAATTAACAAGAATTAACTAAGAGCCGCTCCTTTGCTCTCCAATTTCCCCAATTTTCCATATCTTTGTCTTTGAAACCTTAAATCATTGCTCCGTTGCTCAGTTTCAGAAAGATGTGTTCAAACATGAAATCAAAATCAGATTTTAATACAAATCATAAACAAAAGCAAAACAATAAGAGAATACAACAAATCTGAACCCCAGAGTATCAATCTTTTTCATGCGGTAAAACTAATCGAAATTGAAAGAGAAATCAAAATTGAACCTAAAATCAAGCTCTGCCTGAGTAACAAACGAAAACCTAGCTCGCTCTGATTTTGCTCTGGTCTCGCTCTATCTTTTTTTTTTTCCTCTATTTGATGCAGTACTCTCCTTGTTTTGACCAAAAAAAAAAAAGGTTTAAAAAAGGGGACGTCACTGATGTATCAAATAAGAGGAGGAAGGCTACCTTGGCATATATGTGTTCATGTTCGTCACTAATAACATAATTTAAGTTGTTTTCAGTGACTAATTTAAATACTGGTTAGAAAATTTAGTCATTAAAAATTAGATGCCATCATTTTAGTGACCATAGAGTATTATTAGTCATTAAATTTACTGTATTTGTGACCAGTATTCATTTGGTCACAAGAAAATTGGTCACTACTAATCTCTTTTCTTGTAGTGAAGGGAATCTCCAACCATCATTATTTCACTGGGTTTAACTTCCCAAGCTGAACATATATGCAGTAGTGAAGCTGGATCCGGTTTGTACGGTCGAAATTCCCTGCTCAGAGCTGGAGAAAATGTCAACTGCAGCAACCATAACACAGAAAATAAGATATCAAAGTCCACTACTGAGTAGAAAGAACGTTAACAAGGGAGATGAGTCTCAAGATGGGTTGATTCAGTCAAAAAAGAAAGAAGGGATCTATCCTTGTTCTAATTAGATCTATCAGATGCTTGACTACTTTATGTTAGAGATGAAGGGAGCCTGCTATTCTGATGATTTTGAACATCCAGTTGGGGACAGCATTCGTACTACAGGTACCATTTAGTGATCTAATGATTGTTGTTAGTTGCTTACACAACTTTGTAATTTTTTTTCTTTTTCTTTACTAAATTCAGGTCTTCCTAATGTAAGTGATCTAAGAGCCTCATCTGGCTTATATGCAACGGGTGTTGTGATAGCTGCAGCTTGGACTTGACATTGAGAAAGTATGCCGAAGAAGCTCTGCATTTGCCAAGACAATTTGCCAGTTTGAATAAATAAATAGACAGCAACTTTCTTGCAAGAAGACGAAAGTGATTAAATTATACAACTTGCACCAATTATGGAAAAATAATTTATTTGAAGATTCCTGAAGGTTGTCTGGTGTGTGCGATACAAGTGGTTGCACAAATATATATAATTGATGAGAAAGTGATTAAATTGTTGACTATTATTTTTTGAGAGATAGAAATTGCTAAATCAATCTAAAACTAATTCTGGTTCACCTACTACAGCTTGCATTACATTATATTTTAGAACAAGGTGTCACCTACTACACAGCTTGCATTACATTATATTTCAGAACAAGGTGGTCAGAAAACGACAAAGTTGATGAATTCTTGTTGGGTTCAAATTGAACCAATCGGCTGCAAATTAGATCTGGAGGTTTAGTTGTTGTTTTCATTTTGGCGAAGAGAGAGTAAGCAGTAGAGAGAATGGCTGAGGGAGTTGTTTCCTTTGTGCTCGAAAGTGTCAGAGACTTCACCATTCAGGAAGCCAAGTTCTTGTCTGGAGTCAGCCATCAAGTTGAGGTTTCACAAACTGAGCTACAATTGATGCAGAGATTCTTGAAAGATGCAGATGCAAGACAAGGAGAAGATGCAAGAGTCCGTATTTGGGTTGCCAAGATTAGAGATGCTGCTTATGATTTGGAGGATGTCATCCAAACTTATGGCTTGAAAGTGGTTTCCAAGAAGAAAAGAGGTGTGAAGAATGTTTTGAGAAGATTTGCCTGCATCTTCAAGGAAGGGGTTGATGTTCACAGGATTGGGGAAGAAATTGAGAATATCACCACCAGAATTTCTGAGTTGAGGTCGAATTTGCAGAAGTATAACATAAAGGAACTAACAACGGACACGGACAGAGACGGTAGTGATGGTGAATCTTCCTTGCAATTGCAAGAGAGGCTAAGGAGAGCTCGTTCTCATGTTGTTGAACGCGATGTTGTTGGATTAGAGTCCAACGTTGAAGAACTGGTTATGCATTTAGTGAAAGATGAAAATCGTCATCGAGTTGTATCTATTTGGGGTATGGGCGGTTTAGGGAAGACCACCCTTGCAAGACAGCTTTATCATGACAAAAAAGTAAGGCAACATTTTCACAGTTTTGCTTGGGTCTGTGTATCTCAACGTTTTCAAGTAAGAAATGTTTGGGAAGGAATTTTAATTGAACTCATTTCTGCTACCAAGGAACAAAAACAAGAAATGGAGGACATGACAGATAATGAAATAGCAAAGAAGCTTTTCCTTGTTCTGCAAGAAATGAGATGTTTGGTGATCCTTGATGACATATGGAGGATCGAGACATGGAATCTTTTGAAGGATGCATTTCCAAATGTGAAAACAGAGAGCACAATATTGCTTACAACACGCAATCAAGCAGTAGCTTTGCCCCCGAATAGAAATGCTTTTCTCCACGAACTCCAGGCACTAAATGAGAAAAAGAGCTGGGAACTATTTGAGAAGATAGCAATATCTGGAAGGGCTGATATCGGTAATTCTCACCCATGCTCTTTTCTTTTCCAGGTTCTTAGTTACATTGCAAGCCACATAGAAACCATTACATTGCATATGACACAACTTATGTAGTGTTTTTTTCATTCATTGTTGGGATTTCCCTTTACAATTTTTTAATATTGTCAAACTGCCTTACTTGGTCACACATTTGTCTTATGCAATTGCAAATAATAATCAGGACAATGCTACACAATTCAAAATTTTCTCCCAACCTTCTCTTCAATCCAAACATATCCCAAACATTTTTCTGCTGGTCCAGATTTAATTTTGAATGTTTTCCAGATTTAATTATAAAATCCAAACTTATAATAAGACAAAGGATATTAGTAAATTTGGGAATTTCACAATTTTAATTTTTAATCATTCGAGTAAGGATATGCACGACAATTGCTCATACTACAAGAATGTATTTGATTTTTATTTCTTTCTTATTTTTCAGATTTGGGAATTTTCACAAAGAAGAGAGAATTAGGAATGAAAATGATTCGACACTGTGCAGGCTTGCCATTAGCCATTATTGTGCTTGCCGGAGTT